TGACCCAAAATTGTAGTTTATTATGTTTTTCAAAGTCATCCTGTCTTTATTAAGCATTGTATTGAGAACCTTTTATATGCATCATATGTTTACAAAGTCAGGAATATGGGTTTAATACACTAAGCTCACATGGTGCAAGGACAGTTAACTAAAATCTCATTCTTTCAATACTGTTTACTGTTTGTCCAATATCACCAGTATGCTGATGCTCCAGGACACAATGAGAAGCACTTGTTTGTCCTGGTGCCTTTTCCTGCTGTTTGTCTGGTACCCAGCACGCAGCATAGTGACGGCGCTTGAGCTGGAGGATTCGGACCGGGACTGGGGTTCTGGATTACACGAACTCCTAAACAGCTTTCCAGCTGATAGTCCATTTGTCAGAGAGACGCCCGGCAAGCCGGCCAACTGCACTCAGCGCTTCTGGCTTCCTCCATCCTCCCCTGTGTGCTGGGATGATATAGCGGGTCCAGAGGAGTTTGAGAAATCACGCCTTCTCGTGCTGCAGAACAGGGCAGCACTACAGGCTGTATCCACATCTAGTGGTCTCGAGGAGGGGGGTGCGTCCTATGATCAACAGGCCAGGGAGAATGTGCAGGGCGTCCGGGCTGACCATCTCGCTGTGGCCCAGACCACCGATACAATGCAGAAGGTGTTCACAGATTTGGATGAGAAGAGGAAGGAGGGGGAAGAGCATTATACCTTCTCAAGGTAATTGAGTAATTTTGAATGCTATCATGGAAGATATATTTGTATATATTTTATATGTATTTATTATATGTATTATGTATTTTCTACTTAATTTTACTATAAAGTCGCCTTTTCACTATCTCCAACAAACGACTGTCTTTCACTTCTGATGCCGAATAGTATGGGAGCTGCGTGCACTTCTCAACATTTATACGGAATTTTCAGACCCATTTGAGCTTCGAGTGCATTGAAATATTTGAACTTTTGTGACTAGACTGTATATGACCGCCTGACAGGATGTGATGTATTGTCTACTTAAAATTATGAGTGCAAGGTGAGAATTACAAATATGTTTACATTAGAACGTTAATCTTTAAACACTATTTCTGTAAAATGGGCAGTTATGAATAATTTAAACGTATTGGTGGTCTTTTGTTTTGTGTGGATATATTTATATATTCATTATTCATTTTACCATGGTGAATAAGAGGAGAGTAACAGCTGATTCATGACTAAATTGAAAGTTTCATATGCCTACTCACTTTTTCAGTGGTCTTGTTTTCAAAAGTATTTTTCCCATTCATTTTCCCCAAGCATTTAAAAAAAAAAAAACTTTGTTAAAGAGTTATAAGCCAACCAGCTATGAGTTATTAACACTACAATCTTTGATTTAAAGAAAAAAAGTGTTTGGAAATCAGAAAAAGAAACAAGACTATGCAATTCATTTCTTTAAAGAACTTCAATTCAATTGACTTATTGGGAGTAAGGCACTAAAGAGTTATTTTGGCTGAATTTGCCTAACATGATTTTTGGAGTTGTGAAGATTTTTTTACAGAATCATGGGTAATGTAGAATTTCCACCAAGAGTTCAACTGTTAAACATGATTGTTTAAAAAATAAGTTGAAATAATGCAGGCTGCCGGCTTCAACAAAATCATAAACCATCATCAGTTAACAACCTCGCAGCTCACAGAATGTCTGTCTTTAAAGGTTTACAAGTTATCATTAAAAATCAATTTCTCTGTTGAGAAAAAGTACTTTACTTCCAAGAATCTGACTGTTGCAGAGATAGTGGAAAGGCAGCACATGATTACAAAATGTCAACACGGGTTACTTTCTTCGGAATCAAAATTCAGAATATGAATTATTTTTTAAACACATGCCACATTTTTCTCTCTCTCTCTCAGTCTGAAGGAGCCCATTGAAAACACGAAAGACTTCATTGCTAAAAAGGAACAAGTAGCAGCACTTCTAGAGAAACATCTTGCCAATCTGGAAAGGTCTTTGAACACTATGCAACTTCGACTGGCCAAACTACTACCCCAGTAATTTAATTTGAGCAACACAACCTACACATGTGGAAAATAATATAATGCATGTTTATTATTACATTTTATCAAACAAATAAGACTTGTATCCCCATATACTGCATGCCAACAGCACCCTGTATTTCTCTTTTGGTACATATTTTCCTCTTGTTTTTCCAAGTAAATGGGATAAATATTAGGTACTGGCAATAAAATATATTTTTATACCTCCAGACTATAGACTGTTCCCTAAAAATGTAAGGTACAATTATATTACATTGGATGTGTGTGTGATAATAAAACTACAGCAATAGTTCACTTTCAAATGTTTTGCATGTCATAAGCCCCTTTTGCACAGTAAATTGCCGTAAAATTACAGAAACGACTTTACCGTATATACGAAAAAATTTTGTTTGCACAGGCAACAATATTCCGTCTTTTTACCGGTAAAGCACCATTCACACATTAGTTTCAAAATACCGGTAAATATTGTGAATAAATATGAACTGGAAACGACCTCTAAACGGCTGCACCTCCTGGTCTTTTTGTAAACATGGGAGTGTTTTTGTTGGTTTTCATTTTTGTGTCAGACGTTCACATTCCTGTAGCTGCTTTTGCCCCAGACACATCGTATTAGACGACTTAAGACATTTCTTTGACATCAGTAAACAGCGTGGAGTAAATGCTTCATCTGCGTCAGAATGTTATGATTGGCCCAGAGTAGTAATCTCGTTCTGCATTCACACAGAGCACTTTACCACCGATAATTTACTGATAATATTACAACTTCTCATACCGGTAAATTGCCAGAATGAAATTACTGGTGTTTTTCAAAAGGTCCTGTTCACACATGATCTTTTAACAGTAATTTACCAGTAAAGACTGTATGTGTGAAAGGGGCTATAGATTCTGACTGATTGCCATATTAAAAATAAGATTATAGTGAACACATAATCAGCAAATGTATTTATTCAAATACAAAAACCAAACTGTTCAAGCATTTAAAAACTATACAGGAGTACACTATATAAATCTTCAGCTGCAGTCCAAAGTCAAGTATGAATCAAATGCATTTTTTATCCTCAGTGATTAAAATGTTAAAGCATGGCCATGAAATATACCTCTAAAATACATTTTAAACCCTGAGAAAAACATTTTCAATTTTTAGACATATGAGCAAGGTCTGATTTCACATTGAATGGAATGGACTGTATAGATGTTTGGATCTTTCCGAAACATACAAATCATGGTGTCAAGCAGTAATAAAAGAACAATGATGCATGACAAAGCACCATATATCCTGGTTTCCAGTATTCACAGTGGTTCAGTTGTGAATCTGCAGTGGCTACAGACATTTTGACACACAGCATAGTGTAAGTGGGTGCTAAAACATGCAGACTACAAAGTAAGGTGTAAAAGTACAACTCTTTGGGTGAAATGTCCTGATGTGTAAGACAATGTCCTATGATTTTATCCACTGTTTTAGTGAGGAAGTGGTCAGGACCAGTTCAGTGATTTCCTCCGACTTGCTATACATCACTACAGGTTGTCATCATCTTTTTTCATTTCTTCCAGTGACTTTAGATAATCTCTGGCCAAGATTTTCTTAGGAAGGATATCTAAAAGTAGAAGAGACAAAACTGTTTACACACCAGTTGATTTAGTTTGCATAGTGTGAATATTAACAAATGGCCAGGACTCACCAGTTAAAAACTGAAATGTTTCCTTCTCCTCTGCTGCATTGGCCAGATCACTGTATGACAGTGTGTTCGTCTCTTTACCCGAACCATTTTTATATGAGGACAGAGCCAAGTGCTGGACGAAAAGCTCCTGTGAGGAAATTGTGAAAATGTCACATTAATATAAACATAAGGCAATGATATACAATGAAATATACTGTCGGAGCCGTTCTCTTGTACTCCAGTGCATTTTTTTTAAATAAATAGAACTATGAACATTCGTTTTGCTATTACTTTTGGGAATGTGTTTTTAAACTAAAAGCGAACTGATATCACAGATATTTCTAGTGACTAAAACCAAAACACCTTTTCAACTAAAGCAGATAACCTGGCAACTGACCATGATTAATAGCACATCAAATTACCGTTGCTTTAGTTGTCAAGAAAAGAGCGTCCTGGTTAATACAGGACACATCGGGAGAACTTTTCATGATTAATCGCACCCTCGACATAGGCAGAGACACATTTTTACTGTTTGTAGCGTGCTCAACTTTCTCTTCCATGTTTTTTTCAGACATGTTCTGTTAGCAGCCGCTTAAACGTAACGGAAGTAAACCTAAAAGGCTTTGACAGAGACGTCACTGGACGACGGTCACATGGGAATTGTAGTTTTATGACGAATCGTTTGTAGTCCTTCGAGAATTGTAGTTTTCATCAATATTTCATAAAGCAGTTTTAAATCGTGAATAAAATACTTTTTCATCAGAGAAAATCAGAGAAAAAGTGACAATATGTTTATGTGACTCATTTTTTATATTTCGTTTATTAGTAAAAGTCAACTGCTGTTATGCAGAGAGCATCAGTTAAAATAACTGAATATTAAATTATATAATAAAATGTTATATATATATTTAATTGTATTGTAATATATATATATATATATATTGTTCAATAAAAATAACATTAAATTAAAATAAGGAATATAATGTCATATTGTTCATATTTTAACATTTTAATGCAACATAACTTAATAAAAAGCTTGATTTATCCTTTCTTTTATAAACTGTTAAAATTATTACAATTGTATGAAAGTATTTCTAGTTTTCAAAAGTCATTTTAATTTGCTTTTTTTTTTATGTGACAAAATCAGGCGACAAAAATGCAAACTGTCCGCATAGTAATCGTTAAATTGACATAAACTACGTTTCCCAAAATACCAGAGTTGTTTTTGTCCTTCTCGACAGTAGTTGGGCGTGTGCGCTTTACAGATAACAAATGAGCTTGGCAACGGTGTTTACTACAGTCTTCAGGACTGCATTACCCACAATGCACTGCTCACCGTTGTCAAAAGTCTTGCTCTCTTGGGTCACTTATCGAACTCTGGCCGTGTCAGCCTGCGTACTTTCACTTATTTGACGGAATAATGCATTTTTCAGGCGCAGGCCTCGCGGAAATAGGGCACGGGCAGGGGCCCGGAGCAGGACCAGCGCCTGGAAGCTGCAATCCGCGTAAATTCAGCGAGAAAATCGCCCTGCACAATCAGCGACAGGCTGAAGACACAGCCGCTTTCCGAGAGGTTATGACGGACGTTACTTCCATCAGGGTGAGTCTAACTCAATACAGGACATGTCAGGCTCATTTACGACAGTTGTCATATATCTGGATTATTCTGTTATAAAGTGTTTGCAGCGGAAGGGAGTGCTTAAACTTTCAAATGTTATGTGCGTTATTAATGTCTGTTTTATTCATTCCTAACTGGACAGCTTTAGGTACAGTTATTTGCTTTTCTTGGGAGTGCGTTTTCAGAAACAAAAAAACAATTAGAAAGTAAAAAAACAAAACAACAAAAACTGTAAAAAAAAAAAAAAAACACCAACAACAACTGTAAGCACTCTCTTTGTCCCCATTAACATTGTTTTCCCCAGTTAAATGAGCATATGTATTCACACGTGCTTACCTTTTTAAAAATATTAATAGCAATAAAATTGTGTATTTTATTACTGGACTGAATTTTAACTGGATGACCAACTACTCACTTGGTCCATACGATTCAACAAAGTTGCAAACAATAAAATAACAATTACATCAGGCAGTTGTGGGGGAAAATAAATAATAATCCATATTTAAATGCATATATTTTTGTACTTTTACTCTGCAATTGTATAATGTGAATCAATTAGTTACTTATTAAAAATAGGGCTCTGTTTACATGTGATCATGACTTGTATGAGACAGAAATCTTCATAATACATAACAACAGACCCTTGACATATTTTATGTACTAAATATGGTAGTTGTAACTGAATTATTATGTTTTATGGAGCTTGGACACAGACATCTGAATTAAACAGTTCTGGCCATGTAACTGTTTACAACAGCTGTTTAAAAAGATGTTCACATGAAAATAAGACAGTATGAACTTCCATATACATTTTTTAGACCCTTCAAAATCAGAAGTACATGACAGATGTGTTGGGATTAAATTGGATTGAATGGATTTAGGAAGTATTTTACCATCTGTATATGGACTTGTGATTCAGCAGGTCAACGTGGATTATGTCAATGCGCATAAATAGCTTTGCCAGTCACTCATCTAGGGTCTGTTTCTCATCAGTTTTGCAGACGGAGGGGTCTGTAAATCTCAGGTACAATGTCTGTTTTAAATAATATTGAAACAGGCATTTGTTCCCCTGAGGGTAAAGCAGTCTGGGAGAGAGTGGGACAAGATTTGCGTTTAACTCAGTGTTGGATGGCTTTTATTGTTACTATTATTGAGGTTGCATTCCCTCCTCAGGTTCAGGCTGAGAGAATCCAGCAAACCAGAGGCTTGGTCCCGTACTATGGAGGATCGCTGCCAAATGTCAATCAGATTTCAAGATGCTCCACAGAGACCCAGGTGTGGGATTTTGATTGTATTTTCAGTATTATTATCCTATCCTTTTAAATATAGGAGAAAACTAAAAATATGTTTTTTTTTTAAATGTCAGGTCTTTTTATTTGAATTAATTTAATTTGATTTGCTTTTCTTATATTTACAGCACCCAAGTTATCTCACCCAGCAGCTCCTAGAGGCAGATGAAGAGTACAGAGACGTCCAGCCCAGTCCCCTTGGCAGACTGCACAGGAGACATGTATCCTCACTTTAAAAATGGCTGATAGTCTTACAGATTCATGTTCATAGTAGTATGAAAGGAATATTGCAACTCCACAACTCTAATCTTTATAATCGTGGTGCTTTAGTCTTGTTTTGTACTTGTAACTGGCGTTGGTTAATAAATGTGTGCACAAACAATGATTGTATATAAAGAACAGTTATGTTTAATAATGAAAAGTTTTGCCATTAAAAAAAAGTATGATTTGATGATTTGCAGGGCAGGAAAAGTTTTTTTCTTGGTATGCTTTGCATTTAACTTGATTATAATCTTTTTTTGGAAGCATTACAGTAGTAAGTACGCTACTGATCAATTGTTCGTGGTTAGTATGATTTTTTTTTTATAAAGAAATTAATACTTTTATTCAGCAAGGACACATTTAATTGATCTGTAAAGACCTTTAATTAACCTTCAAATAAATCCTGTTCTTTTGAACTTTCTATTCATCAAAGAATCCTAAAAAAAAAAGTCTCAGTTTCCACAAAAGTATTAAGCAGCACAACGTTTGATACTGATCAATGTTGATAATAATAAGAAATGTTTCTTGAACCCCAGACACTGAAGACTGGAGTAATGGCTGTTGAAAATTCAGCTTTCCATCTCAGGAATAAATGACATTTTAAAGATATTAAAATAGAAAACAGTTATTTGTAGTAATTGTAATAATATTTCACAATATTACTGTTCTTACTATGTTTTCCAAAAAATTTTATCCAACTATGGTGAGCATTAAAGATGTCTTTCCAAAAAAAGAAAAAAACATATTCTTACTAACCCTAAACCTTTCAAATCTAATAATCAATAATCGAATAAATGACTTTTAAAATGCTTACACCGTAATTATGAACAGTTGTAGAATTCATGAAAATTTGTTGGTTGAAGCCAAAATGCTTAACTTAAGCCTTAACTTCATTTTACAGTTTGATAGTGCTCCCTATCTCTCTACCCACCTCTCTCCTCCTCGAGGTTCTACCTGGAGAAGGTACGATTATAAATAAAGTGTTCTCAAATCTACCGCAATCACCACATTACATTTAGGTGCTAAACAATCATGTCATTTTCATAATGAAGTCACTGTCAGATGTAATGATGAACTCCCTGAGCTTTTGTTTGTGCCAGTACTTTAATTAAGTGTTGCTTGTGTCCAAGCAGAAACTGGTCCAGTTGTTCTGCCACTGAGAAGAGCCAGATGGTCTGTCTTCCTCTGACAGCTCTTAATAGGTAAACACAGAACTCATGAGTATTCAGACTGCTGATCCGAGATCAGCTCTTGTGCATATTCAATCATTTTATTTATCGAGCCAATTGATCTCCCTAATTGGGGAGGAACATTCTTATTCTGGAAGATTTAGAGTCACCCTGTTTTCACCCATTTCTAATTCTGTCCATCCTCACAGAACCAACTCTGACTCAGCCCTCCATACCAGTGTGCGAAACACCCAGTTGCATGGCCACCCGAAATCTGTCCAAAATCTGAACCATATATCTAGACACCGTGGTGAGTTGATTCTGAGTTTTAATAAACAATGTTTCAGTTTCGATGCTGAATTTTAATAAATAGGTATAAATCGCATTTTCAAATATGTTAAAAAAGAAAACAGTTAATTAAAATTGTAACAATATTTCCCAATATTACTGTTTTTACAGTATTTTTGATTAAATCAGTGCCTCGGTGAGCATAAGAGACTTCTTTGAAAAACATTTACAAAATCTTACTGACCCCAAACTTTTGAACGGTAGTATAAGTGCAGGCAAACAGTTAATGTAAAGATTGTTTCATATTTTAACATAACATGAAAATATTAGTATTTTGTCTTAAATTACATGCTTATTTTAAATTAAACTGATTCTTTAAGGGTTTGCACATCCAGCACCACTAATTGAAGAAAATATTCAAGAGGAGACACAATCTCCCAAACTAAAGAAGGTATTTATTCTGCCTCATCCATATAACACTGATAAATTGTTGTTAAACAATTTATTTGAGAAAGCAAGGCTCATTATCTCATCTGTGCCTTCTTTCGTAGTTATCCTCAATAGCATCATCAGGATATGAAACACCTGTTGTTCAGTAAGTTCCTTTTCAGTCCTAGTCATTGAGCTATCTCAGTTTTTCTTCTTTAAACAATCTTTGTTTGCTGTCTCTCCAGCAACTTCCCATTGCCTGATCAGCAGATATCATCCCTCTCTGTCCCGTCAGCCCTCAGTACGAGTGGCTCTCTTCCAGATCTATCCAGCCTCCACCTGCCTTCTCCTCTTCATGTAGGCCAGGATTCTGAGCCCCACAGTGGTGCGGAACAATTGAGCAATGCATCCACGTACCCTGACGTTATGGCTGGCTTTAACTTACCAGGTGTGTTTCAGGATCCAGCATTGTTTGAATTACATTAATGCAGAAGGCTTTCTCTTTTTGATGCTTAGTACCCCCAAATATGATAATCACTTTCCAGTGGACTTTCCATCCTAAAATATAAAAGCTGCTGTGTATTTTCATGTATAAAGATTTATTTGTACTGTAAAAAAAATAAAATTTCTTTGTACTAAAGCCAAAGAAATGTAAATATTAATTGAAAAATATTTACATTGTATTAAAAATCTTGTTGGATTGAAACATTTTTATTTGCAAATAATAAAATAATATTTTAGTTTATAATGTAAGGTTTTAATATAATATAATACATCACACATGTAATAATGCGTGTAATATTTTTTACACAATTTGGATGCAAATTTTAACATGAACTTTTGCAGTCTCTGGATCAGTGTTATTGTTTACTAAAACAATTTATTTTTTGTAAATTTAATATAAAATAAATTAAAATGAAATAAATTCAATTAAAATATAATTATTACATAAAAGCTTAAACTTAAAAACTGAAATGAAAATGAAACAGGAATTAAATCTAAATAGAAATAAAAAAAACAAAAAAAATGACAAATGCACATAACAAAATTACTAAAGCAAATTAAAGAATTAAAACGTAAAATATAAAGGTAAAAGTTCATTCAAAAAGTTAATAAATATTATATAATAGTATATTAAAAATACTAAAATAACACTGCCCTGGACCCCAGTTTGAAAACTCCTGCATTAATGCAAAATGCTTACAAATTGGTAAATGACTGATATATGGACCAGACCAATAAATCAGCCAATATTTGTGATTTTGAGTAAATTATTTTTTATAATTATTATAATTATTTGAGTAGTTTGTGTAAAACTAGTGTTTAATTTAAATTCGCCAAGTTTGTATTATTAGTGTACTACAAATGTCTGAGACCACATTGAAAATCTGGAATTCAAAATATAATTTAAACTTGGAAATAAGTTTTAGCGTTTTAAAAGACATTATGGTGCAAATAAATTAGAAATATTAAAGTTTCCACACAATTTTGTCTTTTTAGGTCTGTCCTCATCTCTTCAGGCATCTTTAAGTAATCCTTTGCTCCAGTCTTCACTCAGCAATCCCAACATCCAGACCTGTCTGAGTAGCCACTCCCTGCCCAGCTCTCTCAGCTCCACTTCTTTGCGCCTGTCACTTAGCAACTCTTCCCTGCAGTCATCACTCAGCAACCAGTCCCTGCAGTCCTCACTTAGTAGCTCTTCACTGAGTAACCAGTCCATCCAATCATCTGCCAGCCGTTGCAGCCACAGCAGCAGTGGAATGGGCGGATCTCGCTCTTGCTCCTCTTCTTCTCTCTCTGGTTCTCCACATGTAACTGGCCACACCCATGCCGCCACATCACGAAAGAGAGCCCAGCTCAGCCCACTCATTGTGCCCAGTGGAGGAGAGTCCCGCTGGCAGCATCCAAAGCAGTTCTCACCCACAGTGTCTCCAACCATGTCTTCTGTATCCCAGGCAAGATATGAAAATTTTTGATAATCACAGGGTTTCTGCAGGTTCATCAAAAGTTTTAATTTCATAAATTCACTTACTAATTTAATTAAAGGCCTTCGAAAGTTTTAGTATAAAATAATTTACTATATATAATGAGTCATGACACAAACCAAGGCAGAAAAAATATAAAATGTATAAATAATTATTATATATATTTGAATTAGCTTTTATTTTTTATTTTAATTTTATTTCAGTTTTAGTTATGTTTTTTTTTATATTTCTATTTATCATTCATTTATTTTTATTTCAGTCTTAGTAACTTAGTACTAATTCAGTTAGTTACCAAGGCAACATTTCTAATTTTCTCAGATTTTATTTATCTAATATTTTATTTTAATTTAGCCTTATTTAAATGACTAAATATGATTTAGTACCCTGCTTTAAACCCTGCAGTCTGTCAATAAGATTTTTGATTGGCTTCATAAGGTCATGCATTTCATTCCATCAAACATGCAGATACCCCGAATCAACTGAGAACTTTCAGAAAGACCAAAGATTTTATTTTATTACTTTTTCAATATTATTCAGGTTCTAATGTGCACTGAATATTTCACACAGGGTGCTCTCCTCAACAAAGTTCTGAAGGAGACAAAGCCACCAGCGTATCCCTGCACTCAGCATCTCAGATCCGCTCCTCCACTGTCCCATCAGTCAATGCGGCAGTATTTCCAGCCAGAGGCACAGCATCAGTCAATCCCTGAGATAGAACAATGGAGTCAAGATGAACACCAGTCACAACATCAACAAACACACAGTCAGACACAACAACACCATATTCACAAACACAGTCGGCCCCTGCAGCATCATTCACAACCACACTCTAAATATCATCAGCAATTACTGTATCATTGCCAGACTCACCAACCACACATCTCGCTGCAAGCGCTTACCCAACAGCAGCAACAACAGCATCAACTGTACACACAGTTCCAGCCTCATCAGATACCCGAGGAGCAGTACCAGTGTCCGGACCAGTGGCAGATGCCATGCCAAGAGGGCCAGTACCAAAATCAACAGCTACATCAACCTATAACTTTCACCTCTCCAGGTCAAGAGAAAAACTGGAAACATATAACAGGCCCACATGGCTTGCAACATGCTCAAATGAAACGTAGACACTCTATGCAGACTACAGAAGAACCAAAACCACTATCTAAGGTTGCTATCCATGAGAGTCAAGGAAAGGGACTGAAGGTCCCTCATTATAGGGAAAGTGAAGTAACTGTAGAAAATCCAGGTTTACAGGATAAAGGTTTTGAACTAAACAAGGTGAGCTCTGTTTGCATTCGAGTATGTAAGCCAGACTTAATGATTATAATCATAATAATAAACACTTTTTTTGTTACAGGAATCATATGTTGGCTTACATCTTACCCCTAGTCAGGCAAAGGCCCTTTCCCAGCAGGTACATTGTTTGTTTCATGAGTCATCAGTTTAGATTGCACATGTCTTGGCCATATGGTCTGATGCTGTGCAGAGCCTCTGCATTTATGACTGACTTTGATGATGTTTATCCTCTGTGCAGCTTGGAGTGCTTCAGAAAGAGCCTCTAGGTGGCAGTAGAGTGTCAGATCTTAACTGTGAAGCTGCAGAAAGCGAGGAGCCGCTGCTACAGAGTCAAAGCTACAGTGCTGGAGAGACACAAAATGTGTTCAACATCAACTTATCTGGTGAGATATGTATCAGCAGCCAGTTTAACCCTGTAAAGCCTGACATATGAAACAATAGTCTGAAAAGTCCATGTATTTAATTGGAACAGTTTATTTAAGCTTTAGACCAATAAAAAAAATAAAATAATAGTTATATATATATATGTGACCCTGGGCCACAAAACCAGTCTTAAGTCGCGGGGTATATTCGTAGCAATAGCCAAAAATACATTGCATAGGTCAAAATTATAGATTTTTCTTTTATGCCCAAAATCATTAGGATATTAAGTAAAGATCATGTTCCATGAAGAATCAAAGCTACAGTGCTGGAGAGACACAAAATGTGTTCAACATCAACTTATCTGGTGAGATATGTATCAGCAGCCAGTTTAACCCTGTAAAGCCGGACATATGAAACAATAGTCTGAAAAGTCCATGTATTTAATTGGAACAGTTTATTTAAGCTTTAGACCAATAAAAAAAAAAAAAATAATAGTTATATATATATATGTGACCCTGGGCCACAAAACCAGTCTTAAGTCGCGGGGTATATTCGTAGCAATAGCCAAAAATACATTGCATAGGTCAAAATTATAGATTTTTCTTTTATGCCCAAAATCATTAGGATATTAAGTAAAGATCATGTTCCATGAAGATATTTTGTAAATTTCCTACCGTAAATATATTAAAACTTAATTTTTGAAAGGCACACACGTCTTAATAAAAGGTCTAACAGCTGATAATGCATATCAGAGCAAACACCAAGCCCTGAGGTCAAAAGAACTGCCTATAGAGCTCAGAAACAGGTTTGCATCAAGCCACACATCATTCTATTGAAGGGTCACAGAAGCATGTAGTCTCTGTTACTCTTAATGGAAGAAGTTTGAAACAACCAGGACTCTTCCTAGAGCTGGCCAAACTGAGCAATTGATGGAGAAGGACTTTGGTTAGTGTGGTGACCAAGAACCTGATGGTCACTCTACTTGATCATATGTGGAGATAGGAGAAATCTACAAAAGGACAAACATCGCTGCAACACTCCACCGATCCAGTCTTTATGGTGTTGTAAAACAAGATTCTCTGGTCTGATGAACCTCAATTCTAAGCATCATGTTTGAAGGATACCAGCTCTGCTCATCACCTGCAGAGTACCATCCCAAAAGTAAAGTGTTCTGGTAGCAGCCTCATGCTGTGGGGCTGTTTTTCAGCAGCAGGGACTCAGGGACTCGTTAAGAGTAGAAGAAACGCTCAGTGCAGCAAAATATAGAGATAGCCTTAATAAAAACCTAGTCCAGAGCATTCAGAACCTCAGACTGGGCAGAAGGTTCACCTTCCAACAGGACAATGACCCTAAGCACACAGCAAGAGTGGCTTATAGACAACTCTGTGTATGTCCTTGAGTGGCCCAGCCACAGCCTGGGATTGAACCCTTTCAAATATTTCTGGAGAAACCTGAAAATGTGCATCTGCCCCATCCAACCTAACAGAGCTTGAGAGGTGAACAGGTGAGGTGAAGAATGGCAGATAATTGCAAAATGATGATGAGCAAAGCTTGTCGCATCAAACAAAAGAAGACTTGAGGCTGCAAAGGCGCTTCAGCTAAATATTTAGTTAAGGGTATGAATGCTTATGCAATGTACTTATTTCAGTTTTTTATTTTTAATAAATTTACGAAGTTGTGACAAATCTGTGTTTGCTTTGTCAGTATGGTGTATGGAGTGTAGATTGATGTGGGGAAAAAATAATTTAAAGAAGTTTATCGTAAGGCAGCAACATAACAAAATGTAAAAAATCATAATGAAGGGGTATGAATACTTTCGCAAGGTACTGTATATTCTGTCATATTACATCATTTTGGCACTGTTTGCATTACCGGCATGAACAATGACAAATCACATGGTTTCTTTAGAAAAGGTGAGCTAGGATTTTTCTAAGCAATCCAGCTTGCAATTTTCATAAAAAGGTGGAAAAAAACAGTGAGTCTCCACATATATATACAAGAATTAGAGACTTGGGGTGGGAATTTTTTCACTTTGGTCAGTAAGTCCTAGTAATGTCAATGCCCTAATACTAACATCCTGGCAGCCAATTAGTAACCATATCTTAACAACAGAACATACCCTTTTATATTTATTCATGATCTCATTCCAACCAAATTCAGAGTAAATTGTCATATTTCGATTAGATTTTCCAAGAAAAACACCATACAGCTCATCAATGCCTCCTTAAGCCTCAAAATAGCTTAAATAGAATATTTTTCTTTTTTGATCTTCCACGAAAGAAGATAAACCCTGACCTCTTCAAAGAGGTTCTGAAGCCTCTTAAGATTACCTAGCTCGCCACTAAAACTCAATCAAAGAAGCTTTTGTCAGGCTGTAGTGTCTGGCGAGAGTGTGCGTGTGCCACAGTGACCTTTCTACAATAGCCACTGTTCAACAACGTGAACTTTGGAGCTTAACAGCAGCGAATATGACCAGTCCATTCTTAGGAGACAATTGCATTCTCTAGGAAAGCAAGAGCCTACTCTGCGGCCAACTATCAAATACATGAGTTTTTCTGGATTAAAGCAGTCTATCTGGCCATTGCGGGGTCATCAGCTTTAAGGAGACGGAGCATCGAAGACAAACAGCAGAGCCATTGTAAAATTCTTATGACATCAGAGCTATCACAACAAGTACGTAAATAAGTCATTTATTTCTATAGCACCTCTCTAGAGCAACCGTTACAGTGCTTTACATCCAAGATTAAAGAGAACAATAAAAAAATATATATATTTAAAAAGCAAATTTATACAAGTAGGTTTTAGCAACTTTTTTAAAGTGTCCACAGTCCACAGATCTGAGATTCTTCCAACAGGACAATGACCCTAAGCACACAGCAAGAGTGGCTTATAGACAACTCTGTGTATGTCCTTGAGTGGCCCAGCCACAGCCTGGGATTGAACCCTTTCAAATATTTCTGGAGAAACCTGAAAATGTGCATCTGCCCCATCCAACCTAACAGAGCTTGAGAGGTGAACAGGTGAGGTGAAGAATGGCAGATAATTGCAAAATGATGATGAGCAAAGCTTGTCGCATCAAACAAAAGAAGACTTGAGGCTGCAAAGGCGCTTCAGCTAAATATTTAGTTAAGGGTATGAATACTTATGCAATGTACTTATTTCAGTTTTTTATTTTTAATAAATTTACGAAGTTGTGACAAATCTGTGTTTGCTTTGTCAGTATGGTGTATGGAGTGTAGATTGATGTGGGGAAAAAAGAATTTAAAGAAGTTTATCGTAAGGCAGCAACATAACAAAATGTAAAAAATCTAATAAAATGAAGGGGTATGAATACTTTCGCAAGGCACTGTGTGTGAAGTTTATCGTAAGGCAGCAACATAACAAAATGTAAAAAATCAAATAAAATGAAGGGGTATGAATACTTTCGCAAGGCACTGTGTGTGTGTGTGTGTATATATATATATATATATATATATATAATATTCGATGCATCAGGGTCATATCGTATAATAGTAAGAAGATGGAGCTTATAGTTGAGGAAGAAATAAAAGTTTTATTCATAATAAAAAAACATATCTGGTCCTTGACAGGTCTTAAATTTAGGAAAATAAAACTTCAGATGAATAACAACACATGACATATTGCACTGTGTCATTGTTTATTTAACAAAAATACAGCCAAGATGGAAAAGCCACAAAAAGTGACAAAGTTAGGACACCCTTACTGTAAACATAGCATAGGAATTAAGAGGGTAAGTAACGGTCAGGCATTGCTAATCAAATACCTTTGATTAACTGATCATCAGCAAGTGTGAGCAACTCTATAAAAGCAGAAGTTTTGGCAGTTTCCTTCAGGTGTGTGTTAACACAATGCCAAAGAGGAAAGACATCAGCAATGACCAAGCAATTGTTGCTGCCATCAATCAGAGACGAGTAATATGGCCATTTCCAAACAATTTGAAGTCCATCATTCTACAGTGAGGAAGTTTATTCACAAGTGGAAGACATTCAAAACAGACACCAATCCTTCCAGAAGTGGACGTCCCAGGAAATTCACCCCAAGAACAGACCGTGTAACACTCAGAGAAATGGCAGACAACCCAAGAACTTCACTGCAGACTCTACAGGCCTCAGTTTACATGTTAAATGATAAAGTTCATGACAGTTCAATTAGAAAAATATGGGACAAGTATGGCATATTTGTAAGGCTTGCCAGAAGAAAACCTCTTCTCTCGAAAGAAACATGGCAGCACGGTTTAGGTTTGCAAAGTTGCATCTGAACAAACCATAAGACTTCTAGAACAATGTCCTTTGAACAGATGAGACCAAACTGGAGATGTTTGGCCATAATGCACAGTGCCATGTTTGGTAAAAAAAAAACTAAAGAGCATTTTAGCAAAAACACCTCATACCAAAAGTCACACATGCTGGTGGAGGGCTGATGATTTTGAGCTTGTCTTGTAGCCACAGGAACTGGGCACCTCACAGTCATTGAATCGACCATGAACTCCTCTGTATACCAACGTATTCTAGAGTCAAATTTGAGGCCATCCGTCCGACAGCTAAAATTGGGTCATGCAACAGGACAATGATCCCAAGCACACCAGCAAATCTACAACAGAACGGCTGAAAAGAAAAGAATCAAGGGGTTGCAGCAGTCCAGTCAAAGTCCAGACCTCATCCTGACTGAAATGCTGTGGTGAGAGCTGTGCATAAACAAATGCCCACAAACCTCAATAAACCTGAGCAACGTTGTAAAGAAGAGTGAGCCAAAACCTCTCCAGAACGATGTGAGAGACTGATAAAGTCATACAGAAAATTATTACTTCAAGTTATTGCTGCTAAAAGTGGATCTACAGGCAGTTGAATCATAGGGTGTCCTAACTTTGTCACACATGGCTTTTCCATCTTGGCTTTATTTTTTTTTTAAATAAACAATGACACGGTGTGATATGTCATGTGTTGTTGTTCATCTGAGGTTTTATTTTCTAAATTTTAAGACCTGCCAAGGACCATATAATGTTATATAATGTTCTGATACAGAACACCATGGAATTCAATAGGGTGTCCTAACTTTTTCACATGACCGTAAATATCAGATGTCACTCTATATATATCACAATAATTTCTAAGATGATATTTAAAGGCTTAGTTTTTTGATCAAAGCTTTGTAGTTTTTATTGTGGGGGCAAAACATATAATGTAATGCATTATAATGATAATTAAGAGATGCATATTACAAATAAACATTCCTCAAAAGTCTGAAGTATTATATTTGACACTCAAATTTTAGCATGATTTTTGATGTATGGATAATCAAATAAACCTAGGTTGCTTCAGTACAGTAAGTGTTTATCTCGAAATATCACGGACAATATAACAGTTATTCTTATGTTTAATTTATAAAAATCAGTAAAGATTTAACAGCAAAAAGACGTGTACCATGATGACCTGTTTTCAGAATTATACTAAAAGGACATTTACTTGCTAAAAAAGTATAAACTATTAATCAGACAACAGAAGGCATGTAGTAGAAAAACAGGTTGTGTAAAACAGGTTTGCGTATTAAATATGATACAGTAGGCTACAGTAGTAGCTGAGAGTGATACATTGTTTTATAGACTAAATTGTAGTGTATATAGCCTATATGTCTTGTCTTATATTTCATTTTAGATTCTCCTATCATTCACTTACATTTCTCACTAATTATTGTTTCTCCACCTTTTCAGACCCATCATCCTGGCTGGACCAGGACATATCAAGTCTGCAGGACTCTATTTTGGAGTTTGATCTAGAAACGTTTGGCCTGGACACTAACTTAGGTTGGCCATGAATGAATCATAAAAGTTGTTATGACATAAATGTTGTTATGACACATTTATTCAAACAAGTACCCTTTTTGCCAATGGAACTGAAATATAGTCCTTAGAGTCAACTTTATGTAATGTTAACTATAAACTGGCTTAAAGGTTCTTTAAGGGAACTAACATAAACATTTTATTTTAATAAATAGTTTTTGCACACAGAGGTCCTAAATAGCAGGTCTATGTGCCTTAATATGCATTTTTGGTTAAATGACATAAATGTTGTTATGACACATTTATTCAAACAAGTACCCTTTTTTGCCAATGGAACTGAAATATAGTCCTTAGAGTCAACTTTATGTAATGTTAACTATAAATTGGCTTAAAGGTTCTTTAAGGGAACTAACATAAACATTTTATTTTAATAAATAGTTTTTGCACACAGAGGTCCTAAATAGCAGGTCTATGTGCCTTAATATGCATTTTTGGTTATGTTTTATTATAAATATAATAAATAGATTGTTTATGTACAGATACATGAGGTGAAGTCATGTATGAGTTGTTTAGGAAATGTATGTTTTCACATTTCATAACAGAATAACTGGTATAATATGGAAATGTACGAAAATGTAAGAAAATATGGCTAGTTTAGGGCCAACTTGTTTAATTCATCAAAATGTTGTCTTGATGGTAAAATTAAGACGGTAAACATTTTTAAGATTTTACTATTTAACATTTAGATCAAAGCTAATTATGTAGAACTCAGACTTTCAGATTTCATATCCATTTGTTTGCATGTTCTAGTCTTTTGTTATAATGTGACTGGGGTCATTTTTGTGACTTCTTGTAACTGACTGTTGACACTTGGCTTTTAATTTCTATATCTTCATTTTGTTGCAGTTTCATCTTTCATAATGTTTCATAATGCAGTTTTATGATATTTTCATATTCATTTTGTTTTATCACTCTCTGGTAGAGGCCATGTTGTTTTTCAGTATTTGTCTTCAGTGTAAAATCAAAAATATTTTCAGTGTGCATATTGGAATGCATTTACATTTTTGACAGAATTAATAACATATGTACAGAAACACCATCTGTAAATTCCAGAAGTATTGCAATTAAAAAGTGGACTAATACCTCTAAGCGTACTTTTTCAAATATTGTTACTATTAAGTTTAGGACTGATTTACCAGTTTACACCAGGCCCGGCCTCACATAAAAAAAAAGCCATATTTATTATGTCTTTGTGTAGAAATTTGCATTTTGTGCCTCTTTACCTCATACGGAGTCCTTGGATCATCTAATTAAAGCCCAGTTTGTTTGTAGATTGTCAGATCCAATGTATATATTCCAGAATTCGTCATTCTTCAAGCCTATATTAATTTTTACAACAGCTTAAGAGTACACACTATATCCAGTGTACGTGAGGTTAAGAATTGTGCGATTGGTATGTGAATGAAATGCATGTCATATTTCCCCAAATACTGTTATGTTTTTGGCATTGGTTTATTAAGGCATACTCTTTACCACTGGATATGTGTAGGACTGTTTACATGTTTTTTTATGATTGTGCTGTTTGATAGCCTATGGAATTTTCTTGAAGTCTTTCAAAACATCCCAACAAATGGTAACAACTAAGATGTTTTGTAAGATGAAGGTAAGATTTGCCATTTTACTATACTCATAACTTTTTGAATTATTGAATTAATTATATAAATTTATATATATTTATTTTAGTATAAAAATAATGTTAAGTGTGGCGCTCAGCTGGGTAATAGGACTTCAAATCTAGCTAACCTCATTTCTAGATTCAATTCCTTCCTCATTTCCCCATCATTTTCTGTCACCCCTATACTTTCCTATGAAATAATTATTTGAAAAAGAGCTCAAAAGCATAATTCTAGCAACAACCGAAGAATTATTGCCTCACTTATCTTTCTCTTGCGGATTAAAACTCCCAATGTCTATTTCCCTCTCTTTTCTTTTCCTTCATGCCATTTGTATCTCCACAAACCTCTTATGATTATCTCACACCTCACATCTCTGTCTTTAAGCATCTTTCTATTATCCCATAGTGTAGTTGCTGATCCTTCTCAAAGTCATCAGGTCTCCCAGTGACAGAGCCACAGCTACCTTAAAGAGATAGTTCACCCAAAAATGAAAATTATGTAATAATTTACTCACCCTCAAAGTTATTCCAAACCTGTATGAGTGTCTTTCTTCTGCTGAACACAAAAGAAGTTGGTAGACAATGACGGTAGCCATTGACTTCCATAGTATTTTTTACTATGCTATGGACGTCAACAGCTACCGTCAACTGTTTGGTTCTCTCGTATTTAATCACCCTGGTGTGCTAAAAAATGTGAATAGGAATATATTATATACGTTATACATATACTATATTATTTACTAATATATTTTACTCAAGAATTTCTGTGTGGCCATTGTGTATTAGAGGAAAGTATTTATTTCATAATGTGACCTTTTTTTACATTTTTGAATGAAAGATCAAATGGATAAACAATGCAGATTTATTTTCACAGCCTTCTTTGTTCATATTTACCAAGGGTACCAACAATTCTGACCATGATTGTGTGTGTGTGTGTGTATACATGTATGTATGTGTATATATATATATACAGTGGGTACGGAAAGTATTCAGACCCCCTTAAATTTTTCACTCTTTGTTACATTGCAGCCATTTGCTAAAATCATTTAAGTAAATTTTTTTTCCTCATTAATGTACACACAGCACCCCATATTGACAGAAAAACACAGAATTGTTGACATTTTTGCAGATTTATTAAAAAAGAAAAACTGAAATATCACATGGTCCTAAGTATTCAGACCCTTTGCTGTGACACTCATATATTTAACTCAGGGGCTGTCCATTTCTTCTGATCAGCCTTGAGATGGTTCTACACCTTCATTCGAGTCCAGCTGTGTTTGATTATACTGATTGAACTTGATTAGGAAAGCCACACACCTGTCTATACAAGACCTTACAGCTCACAGTGCATGTCAGAACAAATGAGAATCATGAGGTCAAAGGAACCGCCTGAAGAGCTCAGATTTGTAGGTGACCAAATACTTATTTTACCGAGGAATTTACCAATTAATTCTTTAAAAATCCTACAATGTGATTTTCTGGATTTTTTTTCTCATTTTGTCTCTCATAGTTGAGGTATACCTATGATGAAAATTACAGGCCTCTCTCATCTTTTTAAGTGGGAGAACTTGCACAATTGGTGGCTGACTAAATACTTTTTTGCCCCGCTGTATATATATATATATTAGTGCTATCAAACGATTAATCACAATTAATTGCATCCAAAATCTAAGTTTTTCTTTACATATATGTGTGTACTGTGTATATTTATATATATATATATATACACACACATAGTACTGGACTGATCAGTCTATCAAAACCTGTATATGACTTGTGATTCTTCTCCTCTCTGATTCTTTCTTCTTTCCCTGTGCATAATAGAGTTAACAACATATAAGAGGCATGGAGAGAGCAGTGAATGAGTTCCTGAGTGTTAGGGTGGATTATCCTTGTGCCTGTATCCATTGTTAACTGGGCAGCCATAGAGCACCCTAATAGGATAAGGAGCGAGCGGAACAGTAGGTGATGCCTTTCTGATTCCTTTTCTCTGCTCCACTCGCTGATCTCTTCCTCTGACCTGAGGATGGCCAATCCTGCAAAACAAAACGGATATAATGAGGTTTACAAAAACTTTTTTGCTGCTCTTTTTCAGAATCCTTATGCATATTTTGGTGCTTTTATGCCTTCATGTTGATAAATAATGGTCCAAATGTCTTGAACATAATTAGATTACATAATTAGATGTGCTGAGCATTACGGTGTTATGCACATAATATGATGCAAGACGCTTTGCTGTTTTGATAATGCCATTTTATTAAAAGTGCCTTTTCACATCTGATTTTTCTACCTATTATATTGTGTAAGAAAACAATATAGAGTTGGGCCCAAAAAGTTTGAGACCACATTGAAAATATATGGGTTTCAAAATTGCATTCAAACTTGGAAATAAACTGAAAGTTGTATAGTTTAATAAATTAAAACAAAAAAAGTTATAATGTAAAATGAAAAAGGAATAAGATAATGTAAGAATTTTGCCATCACTCAAAATTTGATGCTGATAATATTATTTTCAAAAAGTTTGAGACCACATTGAAAATATATGGGTTTCAAAATTGCATTCAAACTTGGAAATAAACTGAAAGTTGTATAGTTTAATAAATTAAAACAAAAAAGTTATAATGTAAAATGAAAAAGGAATAAGATAATGTAAGAATTTTGCCATCACTCAAAATTTGATGCTGATAATATTATTTGTAATTAAATGTTTTCCTTTTTTGGGTTTGCAAAATGCTAATTACATTATAAAAATATAAAACTAGTGGTCTCACACATTTGAACCCATACTGTATATTCAAAGTATGAACCCATACTGTATTTTTGATTGCTTAATTAACAGCATGACCTCATTCTTGTAACATTGTTAATGTGCTATAAATAATTTTAATTAACTTTTACATGCCTAATACAGGTTTGTGGATTTCCATTTTAGTGAATAATTTAATTGGCTTTATATAAAACGAGAGTTTGTTATGTCAAGTCACCTTTATTTATATAGCGCTTTTAACAATACAGATTGTGTCAAAGCAACTGAACAGCATTAATTAGGTGTGTCCTATTAAAATAGTGTGTCAATAATGCAAAATGACAATAGTAAACACTAAATTTTCAGTTAAAGACAGTTCATCATTGAATTCAGTGATGTCATCATCCAGCTCAGTTCAGTTTAAATAGTATCTGTGCAATCATGTCAACGATATCGCTGGAAATGAAGTGTCCCCAACTAAGCAAGCCAGAGGCGACAGCGGCAAGGAACCAAAACTCCATCGGTGACAGAATGGAGAAAAAACCTTGGGAGAAACCAGGCTCAGTCGGGGGGCCAGTTCTCCTCTGACCAGACGAAACCAGCAGTTCAATTCCAGGCTGCAGCAAAGTCACACTGTGCAGAGGACTTCATCTGGTTCCTGTGGTCTTGTACCGGTGGCCGTCTGAGACATGGTCTTTACAGGGGATCTGTATCTGGGGCTCATCTAGTTGTCCTGGTCTCCGCTGTCTTTCAGGGCTGTGGAGGTCCTTTCTAGGATCT